GGGGGGGGGGCGGGCGGCCGGCCGGGCGCGCTCGGGCCGGCGCGGAGGCGGGGGCCGCTGGCTGCTGCTCGGCCCGGTGCTCGCTGGCGCCCGGCTCCCGGCTGCGCCCGGCTCCGCGATCCCGCGCAGACTGCGGCGGCCGCCCTCCGCTCGGCGGCGGGGCTTTCAGACACAATTTGAAGTTGATGCTTTGATTGGCATCCCCTCGAGCGCTGGCCCCGCCCCCCCGGCTCCCCTCCCGCCCCCTCCCAGCCTCCCGCCCGCCCTCGCCGGCCGCTCCCGCCCGCCCTCGCCGGCCGCTCCCGCCCCGCCCGGCTCGCACGTGGTGCTCCGCGCCGGCCGGGCCACCTCCGCCCGCTGTGGACGCGCGAGCGGGCCGGGCGGCGGGTGCGGGCCTCGCGGCCACGGGCTCCCCGCTGCCCGGCTCCCGCGGCCGTCTGACGGCGGTCCGCACCGGCGCGCGGCTGTTGGACCCTGGCTTTGCTGCCTCGAAGCCGAGGAGTGTCTGCTCGTTCAGGAAAGCGTCTCGGCGCCTGCTCTTCCGCCGTTGGGGCCGCGGTGCCGGCGCTGGGGCGGTGACAGCCCGCCGGCAAGGGCCTCTCCTCCGAGGCCGCCGCTGCCTTGGCCTCCCCCAGACATCTCGGGCAGAAGTGGCCCCTCGCGCGCTCGGTGCGCCGCAGAAGCCGGCGTGGCGTGACCCCCGGACACGGGCGTGGCGGCCCCGCGACCCCCACGAGGTATTCCCGGGTCCCCTGGCCGTGACTGGCCTCGCTGCGCTGGGAGAAGCGGGAAGCCGCCCAGCTCTGCGCGCTCTCTAATTGGGAAAACTTCAAGAAAGGGCCGCAGAGAAGCCACTTCAATGGCAAAGCAGAGGCAGTCCACAGTGACAGCTTCTTGAAGGTGAGGGTGGGGACCTTTTCTTTGCTGGAAAATCACCACCGCCGCGCGAGAGAAACACTCCGCCCCCACCCCGGCGACGGGAGGAACGAAGTGTGGCTCGGGGGCCCCTCGTCTGTCCGCTAGGTGTGCACACGCAGGGAGGAAACTTGTGTGGAGAGCGCCCGCCCGAGGCGACGCCGCGACCGGCCCAGGGACAAGGTGTCCCTCTTCTCCTTCCCTCTCCTCCATCCTTAGCCGGCGGGGAGAGCGTGCGGACACTGCCCTGAACCCCGAGCTCCAGGAGGAGGTTCAGGTCCCTGCTAGGGCTCAGACGACTGGTGCAAGGTCCTCCTCGCCTCCCTGTGCACGGGACTTCTGTGGGGCAGGCCGCTTCTGCCTTTCCACTCGCCGGCCAGATCCCCGCGGACCGGGTAGGGAATGTGCAGGGGGTACCGGCCCTGGTTCCTGGGGCCACTTTTCCCGTATCTCCGAATAAGCGGCCAGCTCCCCCCCACCCCCTCCCCCGGTGTACTCCCTGCTGTGAGGGGCTGGCACACTGGACCCCACAGGAATCTCACCCACGAGCTGCAGTGTCAGTCTTGGTGTGAGCCAGTTCCGGCGTGCGGAGTTGAGGCTGGCCTCTGGGCCAGGTCCTCAGCAGGCTGTGTTGCTGGACCTTGACCTGGACCCCATCCCCTAGTTGCCCCTCCAGGCCCCTGGATCCTGGAGGCCCAGTGACTCTTGCACCATCAGGAAGGCTCTCATTTCCCCGTTTTGGGGCCTGAGGACAGACAGAGAACCGCTGTCTATAATTAGCAACAATGACGCCCATAATGGTAATTACTAATTAACAGATCTGTAATCAGGCTTTTATTTCTGTGCTCAGTCAGGTTTTCTTCCTGTCCGTGCTGCCCCTTCACTCCTTCCCCTACCGCCCTCCACCCAACCTCCACTAACTAGCCCTTGCTCAGGCTAGAAACCTCCTGCAACGTCTGGGGACCTTTCCTGCTTTGAAGCAGATTCTGGGGTGCTAGAGCTCAGACGAGCCACTCCCAGTCCTGGAAGTCAATAAACCAAAGCTTCCTTCTGCTCCCCAGCCGACCACCTCCCTGCCTGCCAAACCCCTCTTTCCTACATTTCAAACAGAGCCAGGGGCCAGCCCCAGCACTGTTCGGTTCAGCAAAACTCAGGGTCACATTTCAGGGTGACAGGTAAATACAGATTCGATAAACCCTCTTCCATGACATGGAGGGCAGGCAGAATGTTAGGCCAGAGACCCTTGTCCCTGTAGGGATTCAGCCACACAGATGGGTCCTCCTCCGCACTCTCCCCTGCAGCCCACAGCAGCTCACTCCAGGGCGGCTGGAGCCGCAGAACCAGATGTGGGCAGCAGATTTTGTCGAGAACAACCCCCACAGTCACATGCTGTGCCCTGCCCGTCTCACCTCCCTCTGCATTATGAAAAGATAGAAGGTTCTAGAAGACGGGGGAGGTGAGTGGGAAGGGCCCTCCTGGAAACCATGTCTGGGGATTCCCCAGTGGTGGGAAAATTGACTCTAAAAAGGCCTGTAGACTTCCTCTGCGAAGCCCTAGAAAGGTGCCTTAGTGCTGACAGTGCTCATTCTCTCCCCAAGGCCAGGGCTGGATCCCAGCAGAACCCAACTCTACCCCTGGCTCATCTCCTCCCTTCATTCTCCTTGAGCTTTACCCAAAAAATTGCATGAAAAAAAACTAGGAAACAATCTGACCAAAAAAAAAAAAAAAAAAAAAAAAAAA